ATGAGGTTCATTCTCGTGTTACGCAGCACGTTTGAGCTTTAGCAAGAACCAATGGGGTTCATTCTGGTGTTATGCAGCACGTTTGAGCTTTAGCAAGAACCAATGAGGTTCATTCTCGTGTTATGCAGCACGTTTGAGCTTTAGCAAGAACCAATGAGGTTCATTCTGGTGTTACGCAGCACGTTTGAGCTTTAGCAAGAACCAATGAGGTCCATTCTCGTGTTACGCAGCACGTTTGGGCTTCAGCAAGAACCAATGAGGTTTGTTCTTGAGCATCAAGCAAGTACGGTTGAGCTATTGTTTATATTTGCTGATCATCCGTTCATCATATAAATCATAAAATTTGTACTAAACAGCTCAATTCCTATGGATTAGTTTTAAGACCTCTTTATGAACTTTGTGAAGCGACACAGTGGTTGTTGCTTATACTGTCAATGGTGGGACAAAAATATCTCATATTTCATTAAAAATATCTTCATTCATGTTGTGAAGATGAACGAAAGTCTTAAGGGTTTGGAACGACATAAGGGTAAATAAATGATGACAGAATTTACATTTTTGGGTGAATTAACCCTTTAAAGGTGCAATGTGTAACATTTTTGAGTATCTATTAACAGAAATGCAATATGACATCCATAACTATGTGTTCAGTAGTGTATAAAGAACTTACTTAATAAACCGTAATGTTTTTATTACCTTAGAATGAGGCATTTATATCTACATAGGCGCGGGAATCCCCTTCTATGAAGGTCGCCATATTGTGACGTCATGTTTCTACCGTAGCCGACAGCGAACAAACAGCGTTACAGAGCGCGTTTCGTCACCACATTGAAAAAGAAGCCGCAGGAAGCTAGAAGAAGCTAGTCATAAACACCGTGAGTAGTGACGTTTCCCTTGTCAGTGGTGTAAATATGTAGTTGGATTGTTTCATGTAACTTAATTCTTCTCCCTCGCTGTGTTATGGCTTTGCTATGTGGGGATAAATGTGCTGGTTAAGTTCGTGAGACAGCTGATTAGTAGGCTACTCTTGTCATTGACCGTAAAACAGTTACAGGAATCACCAACCCGTCGATCTTGGAAGCATTTTAAGTCGATCGAGTTTCCAAAATCAGAGAAAAAAGCCTTTGTGTGTAGTAAGTGGTGTCTAGGGGATGCGGAGGCGCGCGTGCTGTCACAATCACGTCATTTTTGCCGCACGCACCTTTGGGCTCATGCGGACGCGTCGAGTTTAAACAAGGCTCAGCCACAGTAACAGCTCATATTAGCCAGCTAAACTTTTACTACCCTGTTAGAAAAAATATATTGTTGCATAGTTTCATGTGGTTCTTCTCCCTCGCTGTATTATGGGTTTGCTGTGTGGGGAGAATGTGCTGGTTACGTTCGTGAGACAATCAGCTGATTACTATTATATTATGTAAGGTGCATTGTGTAATATTTCTGAGGATCTATTGACAGAAATGCAATATAAAATCCATAACTATGTTTTCAGTGGTGTATAAAGACCTTACTTAATGAACCGTTATGTTTTTATTACCTTAGAATGAGACATTTATATCTACATAGACGCGGGAATCCCCTTCTATGAAGGTCTGAAGGTATGTTTCTACCGTAGCCGAAAGCGAACAAACAGCGCTAAAGAAACCTACTACTCTCTGCTGCTGACTCAGACTCAGACGACGACATATTTTGTCTTACGTCGGCCACCGTAGCTTCTCATTCGAGTTTGAAAACCGAGGGATAGGCCGCGAGTGACTTGCTGTTTGCAATTTGCAATCTCACCACTAGATGCCGCTCAAAATCCCACACTGCACCTTTAAATATTGAAAAAAAAACTTCCACCACCACCTTAGTGGTACCAAATCAGGTGCTGATGCTACTATCTGTAGAACTTGTGGCACCAGTGCCATTGCTCTCAAATGTTAGTCTGGAGTAGGGGTGGGAATCTCTAGGCACCTCACGATTCGATTCGATTACGATTCAGAGGGCTGCGATTCGATGCTAAATCGATTATCAGAATCTTTTTTTTGTGTGTGTGTGACTATAAATACTTTGCTTTAAAAGTACAAAGTAATGACCCATAAAGAATTAACGTACAATATATTTTATTAACATTGCAAAGAACCAACAGGAAAATACATGTGTGTCTGAACTAGCAGCAGCATATTTGTAGTAAATTAATAATATAACAACGACCGGTAAGGTTACAGCCGAGTGTTTTTCCTCCTCTGGCTGGAAACGTGTCATTTGGCTTCATGTGTCTTGTTTCCGAAATATTTTAGTTTTACTCTACAAAGCTTACAACTAGTGTGGCTCTTGTCCAGCTCCTTTCCCCCTTCAACTTCAGAAGCCAAAATATTTCCACACGTCAGCTTTTAACGAGGAGGGTGTTTGGATTTGGCGCTCAGCCATCGCGTCCGCGTCTGTTATGTGCACGCCACAGACGGTCCGGCCACTGCACTTCCGCGCTTCAGAGTTCCGTCTTTCGCGTTCCGTCAATATTACGTTATTATAAATATATATCTAAAAAAAATTTTTTTTTTTTGAAAATCGATTTTTGACAATTGTGAATCGATTCAGAATCGTCCACGTCCGCATCGCGATTTTTTCCCCCACCCCTAGTCTGGAGTCCACTAGCTCATCCTTCCCTTTTGAAGCTTTCCTAAAATTTAAAATTAATCTTTGTCCCGCCGAAGAAAATTAGAGACGAGAGTAAAAACATGAACACACTGGAGAGCTGCTTTATAGTAGACATTGAAGTTGCAATTCTAATTGAAAGCGACTTCAAACTTATTTTTGAAGAACGAAAACAAAAATTGTCAAGAGTATAATTTTAAAACGAACACTGAACGTCAAAGTAAGTCTAAACAAGACTTGGAGCAGCACTGAACAAGTAGGCTACTTATTGACATTAGCAAGTGCTCTTAGTCCTGCTAGGCAGTTTTGTTGTCATAATAAAGGTAGGGATGCACAGTTCTGGCATCAGTTCTGGCAAGTCACATTAGTCAAGCTCTCATCAGCTGACTCTCAGCTGATCCACATCCACCTATAGGAATACGACGCCTATCAATATAAGCTCCTTCAGTTTTATCAGCAGCTATCGCGTTTCTCAGGAGCCAATCACCCTCCTCCATCCCCAGCTCCTCCTCTCCTCAGTCAGGATTTGGCCTTCTGAGTGCCCTTTGAATCAGAATAAATTCTCAAATTAATTTGTACTTTAAAATCTTGAATTAATGATATCTGCAATACATTCATGTTGGTTCTGTTCTGTTCTGTTATTGCTCTTATCCATGCTAGGCTGCATGGATGCGCAGGGAGTTTTTGCCCAGAACAGAACCATATCGCCAATCCAAACTGTATGCTAATGGTCAATCGTATTTGACGGTAGTGGACCTGACAGAACTAATATATTGACCGATAAATCTAAATCCAATTGTTTTATTTTTTGAGAGCCTAATAACAAAAGCAAAAATCTCAACATTAAAAGCTGTCCAAAATTTCTTTATGACAAAAACTTACTTTACAAAGAAATAAAATAATGCCTACATAATGCAAATTAGTCACTTGAACAAAACATTTAAAAAATAAAAATGCATGTGCCTATAGATAAATAAAATGGAATAGCCTAGACTACACCCAGACAATAATGAAATGGTTAATTTGGTTTAATTAATTAAACCATATTGATTATAAAAATAATACGAGAAAAAAAGTGCGTTATTATTAATAATGCATCAATGTTTGTTTGTTTTTTGAAAAGGAAACATCTTAAATTAATATCACTGTTTCAAATAACAGCACTGGTGTTTGAGCTGTCCACGATGAACCATAAGTGATAATGATCGCTTTGTTAGTGGGTTAACTAACTCAATGAAACCTATATGAGATAAATCAGATATGTATGCAACATAAACATAATATTACAACTTAGGCTATATCTGCACAAAATTATGCGAATGCACAAGTGAACTTGAACTAAGTTATGTGTCAGATCTCTCCTGTTGTGGACGCACTCTTCCCGTAACAACCTGCTGAAACAGGGCAATCAACCCAAACTAATTCACAATGCAATATTACAATAGTGTTCTTATTATAATGTTATGTGCACGACAGTCCCAATCATAGTTATTAATGTTGTGCATTGCCATTTGAGCTGCATGCACTGAAGCTAAAGATGGTCAGCAGACTGGAGAGCTTTACTACCGCGGTAATTAACTTAAAACGTATCCTACATGAGATAAATCATATACTGTGTATATATATATATATATATACACAAAATATGTGACCAATATATTGACCAATATATTGTGCATCCTTAAATAAAGGATAATAATAAAATGTGTTTCGGTCATGAACGAATGAATCACTTGAGTGCATGATTCAATGACTTGCTTATTACACAATACACACAGAAAGACAGTCAATTGTCGCCTATTGGCGGAATACAAAAAGATTCACTGAACAGTGAAAGATCTTTTTGGTGAATGGATATCGATGAATCTGAATCAAATTCCCCATCAATAGCTACTGCAATCAGACACATGATCACCAAAGCACATCCAACTAAATTCAGAACAATTGCATCCTCAAATGCGCGAAAACTTAGAAATACATCAATGTTTGCATCTATCGCAAATGATGCATTTCTACTGTGTGAAGGCGAACAACTCCTAAAATTAAATCTTATATGGCTTCGACATAGATGCACAAACAATGTCCTTGATTTTCTATTGTTCTTCGTACAAAACTGAATCTGTCACAAAGGTGGGTATGTGAGCTGTGCAGACAGCAGATCTTTGCAGGTTTTGTGTCATGTAGTGAAGCAGAGATCAGCACACGGCCTTTAACGGGCTAACACACTGTAGCATGCTAGCATCAAATCATAATCTGCATATATGGTGTCATATTTTCCTCTTTAAAAGACAAAACTGCTGGATAAAGAAACGGACGTGTAGAGTAGATAAAAGCACGGTGGTGTGCATCGCTGCCACTCATCCTACCTGTTTCCACAAAAGCTTTTTATTCCAGAGAGGCTTGACATAACAGCGCTGAACATTAGCCAGCAACAGTGCTGCTGTAAACACAAACCAAACCCCGCTCGAACTGCGCATGCGCTGCCGCACTCTTCGGCAATGTTCGGGATGGAGTCGAATATCAGCGTACGCAAGGAATTTTGCATTATGGTATTTAATAATAGTAGCCTATATAAAAAGTTTTGGAAGAAAAATAAACATTTCAACATGCTACTTGCGGTCAAATGAAATCGCTATGTGTTATGTTTACCTGAATGAGTAGAGTCCGTTTATCATTTAGAAAATAACCATTTAACATTTTTAATGTAGGCTATGTGCATAACATTTCGCAACATTTGGCTGTCAAATGAAGCAATGAGTCAAAAACAAAAAAGATTGGTTAAAAATCAAAGCTGATATGACATTAAATGCAAATTTAGCATGTTACATTGTGGGATTCAAGTTTGCATGCAGTGTGCTTTGTTGCATACTGCACATTTTAATGTAGTAGATCATCCGGGTATTCTATGCATGGGCTACAGAAAAATTGCATACTATGCAGTTTGCATACTATTGCAGAAACAAAAGACTAGCCTATAATGTTACAATGCTATTCTAAACAAAAAGTTGTACAAGTACATTTTGAAAAAGTAGCCTACATTTTGGAATATGTACTTTGCCATAAAGTGGAATATGTACTTTGTCATAAAGTGGAATATGTACTTTGTCATAAAGTGGAATATGTACTTTGTCAAAAAGACAACCCATGCATTCAGAAAATCTACATCTTATGTATAGAATGCATGGATTATGCAGATATAAGTGTTGAAAAGTGCACATTTCCTACTTTCCTGCTCGTATTTCCTAAATGTAATATAACTATATTAATTTGATTTTGAAAGTGTAACAACATATATTAGCAGCAAAAACTATAGCCGTATATGAATGTGCCAGGTTGTGATGTTTTAACATTGGATCCTCTACCATTTGTTTGTTTTCACAACATAGTGAAGCTTTGGTTTTAAATTCATAATCAACCAGATATTAAACTGAAATGAACAGGGTATTTTTTCCATTGCTACAAACAAGGAAATCTATTTTTAAGTTCTGCGCATTGTGACGCCTTCTCATTTTCACACCACATAATCACAATACATTTTTTTTGTGAGCTGGATGTTGACCCTTATAAGCCCAAATGACGTTTGCTGAAATGTAAAAAAAAAAAAAAAAGTTCCCTTCATCTAAATGGCATATGACTTGATGTCGTCAGGGTTGACAATTGCTATAGTTCTACAAACAAAAACACAACTAAATTGGAATGATATTGTATGTTGGCATAAAAGAAAAATCCCTCCCAGGATGTCCGGGGTCTCCAGGTATTTTTTTTACATTTATATAAGCCTAAAAAAAATTAAATATATATATATATTTAAATTGGATGAATGTGGGGAAAGGAAAAAATCGATATTTTTTATGCTTGTCAAATAAAAATAAAAAATCAGCTACAACACAGAACACAAATACACCGAAGTGAAGTGAGATTACATTACATGTTACATTACATGTTATAAAATCACATTTTACTGTCTGAGTGTACATTAATAATAAAAAATAAACTTACATGGGTTAATCTTTAAAAACACGAATGACTATTTCAGACTCTTCAGCTTGTCCAGGTGAGGATATTGCAGTCAAGAGGCCAACCATAACACGTGGTACCAAAGCACACCAGCAGATGTCATGCTAATTCATAAAACTGCATCCTCGCGGTAAGAAAGAGTCTGAACACTCAAGTGATGATGTAACTGTTTATTATCTTGGCATGCAACTACATGTCATGACCTTTAGATTCATCTCAGCAGCTTGCCCTATATATCAGAGCAAAGCTTAGCCAAGATACAAGAGCAATAACAAACAAACAACCAAAACAGTAAGAATCCACTGTGCGTTGGCTACATTTCTATATATTCTTCCTTGCATTGCCACAAGCAAAAGGGAAATCCTTGCCCCGTGGTATTTAAAAAGAAACAAATGCAATATAAATAATCTCTACTATTATTTCATCAAAAGATATTCCTGACTTTTAGAATCTTTCTCTCTGTGACCATAAATAGCCTCATATATCTGATTATACATCATAAAAATGTGCAGTATGTCCATCTAATGATGGCTCTGGTTGTATAAAATGACGGATGCCCATCTTCTATTCATTTACAATTGAATCGAACAATAGATTTGCAAAGAAAATGTCTAATACAGACGTAAAAATATCCAACACATCAGTTCGTTTTTGCAGTTGCGCACAGGACAAAAACAAGCATCATCACAACCAAACACGTCCTGCCCCATTATTACAGCTAAGCAAATTTTTAAAATTTATATGCAAACAAAAATGACATTTCCAAGGGAAAAAAAAACCTACAGAACTATGGATATAAAACAACAATCATAATCCTGATATTAATCCATAAGAGCAGACAGTAAGCGCTATAGGAAGTGAGCATAATGTAAGATACAGTGCAGGACACTCACAGCGCTGGGACGTTGTGTGACACAACTACACAATCATACTTCCTTTGCCAAAGAAGAACCTCTTTGCCAAAGGCAGCATGCATGATACAGGGCTGAGCTGGGCAGATAAACGAGTCAAACGTGTACTAATAAGGCTTTGCTGCGTCGCAAACGGGTGATAAAAAAGGGGAAAAGTCGTGTTATTGACAGCTAGCGAGGAAATTAAAACAGAAACTCGTATCGTTACCAACCCAGCACCATTTTTTTAAACTCTCATATCAGATGAGGCCAAACATAAAAAATAATCCAAAAATAAAGGCAAAAATTCTCTACATGAATCAACAAGATGTTGCGCTTGGACAGAAAATGAACAAATTTCTGTGTATATCAGCATTTTGCAACAAAAAAAAACACAATATCTTTGCTGGAAGGTGCAGCTGTAACATCCCCTGTCGAAACACACTTTGACTGCAGGAGGAAAAATGAGATTTAATGACCAGGAAGATTTCACTCCTCATTACTCATTTCAGTGGAAAAACACTAATATACCACATAAGTAAAACCGTGATTAACAGTCTTAAGTGATAATGCATTCATATTCATATTTTGTTCAGGCTTAACAAAGACATGTCCACATTCATACACAAATACAAACATATACATGTACACTTAACTGGTCCAGGCAATACGTTTAACAAAGGAGAAGTCAGTGAAGGGAGAAAAACATTCAACAAAACAATCCCGTCATAAATTAGACACTGAATCAAATCAATGCTGTTTTATATAGGAGAGATTTGAAGTGATGTAACACAGTTTTCATCTCCTTTCAGGAGCACTATAGTGGGTTGGGTTGATACTATCAAAATGCTGACCAAACAATTAAAAACGTATACAAAATATTCCATCAACAACTTCATGGAAGTTAGCAATGTTTTGTAATAAAATAAAGGAAAACAGGAACTTGGGGGGGACTTAAACTAAGTCTAATTGTCTGTATTCTTTAAACTGAAACTACAGAAGTTACGAAACAGAAACCGAAGCAATGAAAATGAGGTGACCTTTGGACCACTGTAAACAACAAATGGGAACTGTCACTGTATTGAGCATTTCATACACACTAAACACAATCTCACATCCTCAAACGAGACTGAACTCTAAAATTCTATTGTGCTGTTTGTTGCTTGTAGCTTGAACAGTTCACCCAAAATTATCCAAATTCAGAATTGAAGTATTGACTTGGACCCACTTCTGGTGTCTGTCTTGACTCTAACATGAGCCTGTCCTGTTCTTGGTCTTGACTCGGACTAGACCCTCTTCTGGTCTCGGTCTTGACTCAGACTTTTTGTGGTCTCTCTCTTTTTTTCTAAGATTTGTTTTTGCCATTTTTGCCTTTATAATGACAGGACAGACAAGAAGCGAAGTAGGCGAGCGAGAGAGGGGGACAGGATCAGGGAAGGTCCACGAGCCGGGACTCGAACTCAGGTCGCCTGAAGCGCAACGGTGCTATATGTTTGTGCACTGACTGTGGTCTCAGTGGTCTCTTCTGTTCTCAGTCTTGGCTCAGACTCGTCCCTTTTCTGGTCTCGTTCTTGACTCAGTCTCGACTCTCTTCGGGTCTTGGTCTTGTCTTGGACTCATCCCTCTTCTGGTCTCTCTCCTGACTCGGGCTTGACCCTCTCCTGGTCTCTGTCTTGACATAGACTCATCCCTCTTCTGGTCTTTCTCTTGACTCGGGTTTGACCCTCTCCTGGTCTCTGTCTTGACATAGACTCATCCCTCTTCTGGTCTTTCTCTTGACTCGGACTCATCCCTTTTCTGGTCTCTCTCCTGACTCGGGCTTGACCCTTTTGTGGTCTGGGTCTTGATTAAGACTTGAGTCTTTTCTGGTCTCTGTCTTGACTCAGGTTTGACCCTATTCTGGTCTCCCTCTCTTGACTCGGGCTTGCATCTCTTCTGGTCTCTCTCTTAACTCGGACTCATCCCTCTTCTGGTCTCTCTCTTGACTCGGGCATGACCCTTTTGTGGTCTGGGTCTTGATTAAGACTTGAGTCTCTTCTGGTCTCTGTCTTGACTCAGGTTTGACCATCTTCTGGTCTCTCTCTTGACTCAGGTTTGACCCTCTTCTGGTCTCTCTCTTGACTCAGGTTTGACCATCTTCTGGTCTCTGTCTTGACTCGGGTTTGACCATCTTCTGGTCTCTCTCTTGACTCAGGTTTGACCATCTTCTGGTCTCTGTCTTGACTCGGGTTTGACCATCTTCTGGTCTCTCTCTTGACTCAGGTTTGACCCTCTTCTGGTCTCTGTCTTGACTCAGGTTTGACCATCTTCTGGTCTCTGTCTTGACTCAGGTTTGAGCATCTTCTGGTCTCTCTCTTGACTCGGGTTTGACCCTCTTCTGGTCTCTGTCTTGACTCAGGTTTGAGCATCTTCTGGTCTCGGTCTTGACTCGGGTTTGACCCTCTTCTGGTCTCTCCCTTGACTTGGGCTTGACCCTTTTGTGGTCTGGGTCTTGATTAAGACTTGAGTCTTTTCTGGTCTCTGTCTTGACTCGGGCTTGCATCTCTTCTGGTCTCTCTCTTAACTCAGACTCATCTCTCTTCTGGTTTCTGTCTTGACTCAGGTTTGACCATCTTCAGGTCTCTCTCTTGACTCAGGTTTGACCCTCTTCTGGTCTCTCTCTTGACTCAGGTTTGACCCTCTTCTGGTCTCTGTCTTGACTCAGGTTTGACCCTCTTCTGGGCTCTCTCTTGACTTGGGCTTGACCCTTTTGTGGTCTGGGTCTTGATTAAGACTTGAGTCTTTTCTGGTCTCTGTCTTGACTCAGGTTTGACCCTCTTCTGGTCTCCCTCTTTTGACTCGGGCTTGCATCTCTTCTGGTCTCTTTCTTAACTCGGACTCATCCCTCTTCTGGTCTCTCTCTTGACTCGGGCTTGACCCTTTTGTGGTCTGGGTCTTGATTAAGACTTGAGTCTCTTCTGGTCTCTGTCTTGACTCAGGTTTGACCCTCTTCTGGTCTCTGTCCTGACTCAGGTTTGACAGTTGTGGTGGCAATTTTAATGATATTCATTGATCTTTAGTTAAATATAGATGATTCAAAGAATGTCACATGTGTGTCTCTCACTTGTAGTGAGAGAAGATTCTGTTTATGTACCTGGGGAGGCAGAAGAGGGAGACACTTCAGAGAACAGACGAACAAGGACCTCTGACCTAGATGTCAGAAGGCCATTTGGTGCAGGGGAGCTTAGTGGGCCAACTAGTGACGTCTATGGAAAACTACTGGGAGGAAGGCTCTGGGGGGAAGAAGGCCTTGGAACTAAGATAAAAGCTAGTTCAGTCTGTCTGGGGGTGTGTCACTCTTCTGCACAGGGTAACAACTGTGTATTAGACTGCTCCTATTCTTGCAAGAATAAATACTTCTATTTTATATAATTTGACTCTGAGTGTCTCTTACGCAGTGATGTTTGTTTGAGATGAATTTTTGCCATAACACCATCTTCTGGTCTCTCTCTTGACTCGGGTTTGACCCTCTTCTGGTCTCTGTCTTGACTCAGGTTTGAGCATCTTCTGGTCTCGGTCTTGACTCGGGTTTGACCCTCTTCTGGTCTCTCCCTTGACTTGGGCTTGACCCTTTTGTGGTCTGGGTCTTGATTAAGACTTGAGTCTTTTCTGGTCTCTGTCTTGACTCGGGCTTGCATCTCTTCTGGTCTCTCTCTTAACTCAGACTCATCTCTCTTCTGGTCTCGGTCTTGACTCGGGTTTGACCCTCTTCTGGTCTCTCTCTTGACTCGGGCTTGACTCTTTTGTGGTCTGGGACTTGATTAAGACTTGAGTCTCTTCTGGTCTCTGTCTTGACTTGGGTTTGACCCTCTTCTGGTCTCTGTCTTGACTCAGGTTTGACCATCTTCTGGTCTCTCTCTTGACTCAGGTTTGACCATCTTCTGGTCTCGGTCTTGACTCGGGTTTGACCCTCTTCTGGTCTCTGTCTTGACTCAGGTTTGACCCTCTTCTGGTCTCTGTCTTGACTCAGGTTTGAGCATCTTCTGGTCTCGGTCTTGACTCGGGTTTGACCCTCTTCTGGTCTCTCCCTTGACTTGGGCTTGACCCTTTTGTGGTCTGGGTCTTGATTAAGACTTGAGCATCTTCTGGTCTCGGTCTTGACTCGGGTTTGACCCTCTTCTGGTCTCTCCCTTGACTTGGGCTTGACCCTTTTGTGGTCTGGGTCTTGATTAAGACTTGAGTCTTTTCTGGTCTCTGTCTTGACTCGGGCTTGCATCTCTTCTGGTCTCTCTCTTAACTCAGACTCATCTCTCTTCTGGTCTCGGTCTTGACTCGGGTTTGACCCTCTTCTGGTCTCTCTCTTGACTCGGGCTTGACTCTTTTGTGGTCTGGGACTTGATTAAGACTTGAGTCTCTTCTGGTCTCTGTCTTGACTTGGGTTTGACCATCTTCTGGTCTCTGTCTTGACTCAGGTTTGACCATCTTCTGGTCTCTCTCTTGACTCAGGTTTGACCATCTTCTGGTCTCGGTCTTGACTCGGGTTTGACCCTCTTCTGGTCTCTGTCTTGACTCAGGTTTGACCATCTTCTGGTCTCGGTCTTGACTCGGGTTTGACCCTCTTCTGGTCTCTCTCTTGACTTGGGCTTGACCCTTTTGTGGTCTGGGTCTTGATTAAGACTTGAGTCTCTTCTGGTCTCTGTCTTGACTCGGACTCATCCCTCTTCTGGTCTCTCTCTTGACTCGGACTCATCCCTTTTCTGGTCTCTCTCTTGACTTGGGCTTGACCCTTTTGTGGTCTGGGTCTTGATTAAGACTTGAGTCTCTTCTGGTCTCTGTCTTGACTAAAACTCTGGCCTCTTCTAGTCTTGCTCTTGACACAGACTCAATCTACTTAGGTCTTGGCCTGGACTCAGACTCAAATGAGCTGGTCTAGACTACAACACTGCAAAGTGTTTTTTTTTCCGCCAGAGTTTTTGTGACCAATCGACATTGTCAAAGCTGGTGAGACACATCTTGATGATGCATTGTATTTGAATGTAGAATAACACCTGAATTTGTAGAGCCTGTTTCCATTTACTTTCATTATATGAAAAATACAGTATTTGAATCATACAGGTTTGGAACGATATAAAGCTGAGTAAATTATGACAGAATGAAAGAATTTTCGTTTTTGGGGGAACTGTTCTTTTTAGTAGTAGTACAAAATATTGACTGATTGCCTATGAAATGTCTCTTAGAGATATCAGACCTATACCACGATCTATACATACATTTAAACAATGATCAATGAATGGTTGTTTCAAACAATGATGCCCAACAAATAATTCATGCACATAACATTTCAGTGGCTAACACTGCAATAATATTAATAATGCAAGTACTATAGATTCCAAGCACCTTGGTTATTCTTGATATATACTGGAAAAGTCCACTATATAGTTTTTATACAGTAGATTATGGTTTCCACATGAGCTAAAAGCTAGTGAGAACCGTCACTTCTGTACAGAGTTACGGGACATGGGTAATTGGTTTCCTGGCTTGGAGAGGGTTCTGATTGGCTGACATCAAGAGTTACCTGAGGTGGAGTTGTGACTCAAAGTGAACATTCATCCACAAGCAGTGATTAAGTAAAACAAACTGACTCTGAAAGGATGATGAGTGATTACAATTACAGGGCATAGCTAGCTCTTATGAAGAGAACACATGAATACAGAAGGCTTCCGGCTGCGTCTTGCTGCCTCGATTGACTCCTATAAGGGCAACTCTACCTTCTACCTAAGGAGGATGGTGGATTCTTGGCATGACCCCATGGAATTAGAACATGAGGAGGGCTGGTGTGTCCAGCCGGCCTCAGTTCCCGTTTAGCAGCATCTCAGGTCCTGGACTGGGTCGCGGGGGGTCTCCGGGCCTGGGCGAGCACGTTCTCATCTGCATCTTCCCCATATTGAGGCCTCCAGGAGAGAGGGTCTTTCTGTAATGTCATAAGAGAAATAATAAAATTATAGCTCTTATTAATATATCAACTATTAAAAGGGAAGAGAAAATGCTGCCCACAATTATTTGTTGTTGATCTCAAAGGTTTTTGCATTCACACAATTATACATTTTCCTTTTTAGCCTCAGTCATATTAACTCTTTTCCTGCCATTGACGCAATTTTCTGTCATTTATTAAACAACGTTTCCCCGCCATTGACGGAATTTTTCTGTGTTTTCACTGTTATACGACAGGGGGCGCTATTAGGCATCTTCTGAAAGAGTACAGAATCTCCTGATCAAAAAACAGCTGAAGAAACAGAAATTAGGGATTGCATTTGTAATCATATGCATATGTAAAACAACGGATCATCATCAACATTAAACAGCATATAAATCAAAACTGCCTATTGCTGCCGAATTAAATGTCGACCCAAGACGACTGTGCAAGCATTAGGGGTGTTGATGGACTCAATCTACTCCATCTATGTTTTGATCATCGTTCTGAATCCGATCTGGATGTAGTCTTTGACAAAAACACGATTTTCTCAGCTTTTTGCTCAAAATGTTGCTAGATGAAGCTAGAATAAAACAGTTTTTTGTTTGTTTAAAAGCAGAGGGTCTGTTCTTTCTTTTGATATATAGCATGTTCAGATATTCATACAACTAAATATTCTGGGGGCCATAAAACATTTATGAAAACTATCAAAAATGCTGGTGCTGGCTGGCAACTTTGTTCAAAAACGCTGGAGGGGAAAGAGTTAATTATTTTGCATATTGTTACGTCTACGCAGTAATAATAATACATTTAATGTTTTTTGTATCAAAAATTCAGACTTGGTGTGAACAGATCATTAATCCGAGCAAAGTCACATCAAATTAAAACAAATTCTAAAATAACAATAAAAACTATAACATAACTGGGAAAAAGTGAAGATAAAATGACAATAAATTGACAGTGCTGAGAGTTGTTGTATGCGAAAGAATCCTGACATCACAACAGCAACCAATATAGATGCACTGGATATTGACTACAATCAAACTGATCCGATTTCATTACGTGCAAAATGACAAGCAAACAGTCAGCCCTAAAAATAGGGATTTGAAAACCTAATCAGATTTGTGTGCAGTGTCAACAAAGCTCTGCTTACCTGAATGCCATCTTCTTCATAAGGTGGTTGTCCATTCTGTCAGGCAGGTTGTTTTCCAACTGAGAACTGGATGCTGGATCACCGAAGACTGCAGAGAGGTGGATGTTCTGGGAGCGGCTTTGCGTTTCAATTGAGTCCTTTAGATTATACAAGCAGTTAAACACTAAACAACACAAAAACCGCCAAATGCAATGTAGGCTTTCAAGTCTGAGTCTAAATGTTACCTCAGAGTTGCAGTCCTGTGTCTCAGCGTCCTCCATGTCCAGCGCGGAAAGCTCCAGCTCGATGTCTCTGTCAGGCTCACTCTCCGTCCCGTCCTTCTCCAGCAGATCTATGCCCTGCTTTGACCCGCTACTGAAGGAATTACGCCTTACATGCAGCCCGGGCACGGCCAGCTGATCGCTGAGAAACACAGACACACACACTGAGCTCTGAAACATACCTACACTTCAGTACACAAATCAGTCGGCTCTGTTGTTTGGTGTTCTCAGACTAGAAACTCAGTTTTGAGATCAGGTGAGAGGTGTACTCCCACTCAGAATCTGCCCTATGAGTAATCATCATTGACACCAAAAAGCAATGTTAAATTATTAGAGGACATATCAGAGGAAAAACAGGATTTTTTTTCTTTGGAAATGAAAGGTGGATTCATCTATAAGCTAATGAAAGCGTCTGAAATGCATGTTTTATTTTTTATCAATAATTGTATATACACTACTGTTCAAAAGTTTACATGAGTAAGATTTAAGTTTTTGTAAAGAAATACATTTTTATTCAGCAAGGATGCATTAAATCAATTAAAAGTGACATTTATAATGTATTATACTATGGGGCTGTTGAATGCTTGAATCTGATTGGTTGACTAACATTCTAAGGTGTGCAATTATTCTCAGGGAAATGCACGGCTAAAGTAGTGCCAGACAGGCAGCTCTACGGACAAAGAATCCTTAAACAAAAATATCATACTTTTTCAAAAGCATATTCATTTTGCATGTATCCACGGTTTGCAGAGTGTGTGTGCTCACTACTCACTACTCCTAATGTGTGTGGACTTACTTGGATGGATTAAATGCAGAGGACAAATTCCGAGTATGGGTTACCATACTTTTTACATATTATCAGTGGTGCTAAGTTGATTTCATGGGAAAAAATAAAATGCTACAATATGGCCCTGGATAAGGACTTGTGTGTGTTAAGGAGACACTATTAAATGTAAGTCCTCACTGCTGTGTGTAAGAGCTTTGCTAACACAAACGAGTGGAGCTGTGTTCCGGCGGCTGCTCTATTTTTAGAATGGTACAGCGAGACGGCTACGGCGGGGTGGGATGGGGGTAAAGACTGGGAAACACTTTTTTTTAGACAACTTGTACAATGTTCCCGACAATACAGTAAAATTAATGAACAAATGACACTAATAATAATTTATACATGCATGACTTGCTGTGTGGTTGTTCACTGGAGCAAGTCAAAAGAACCCACTCCCAAGTCTCTATATATGGCTCCTTCAATGCAAATCTATGAGATTTTTATTTTGGTACCTCTCTAGAAAGCTGGAGTGACTAGAGGAATCAGAACCACGAGGGCCCCATCTGAGGTCACTGTGACCAATATGGCAGCCATAATCTGTAAAGAAAAGAAAACACGAATCACTCTCAAAGACAAAGAAATTCAGTCTCTAAAGCATAGCAAACCAAACAATGTCTAACCTCTGAAGTTGATTGATGTGGTGCTGGCGCACCCCTGCGATGCGGTGGCCTGGACCGGGTCAGTGGTGTGAAAGCCAGTGCGGGAAGCTCGGGAGATGGCTCCCCATTTAGAGATGATGGGCCCCTCTCCAAAAGGAATTATGGGATCTTCTTCTTTCAGTCGCCTGTAGGGTTCGAACATGTGCAGCCACCGCTTGCCACCACTCTCCTCGTCCTGAGGACAGATAATTAGATATCCATTAGGAGCCATATCACAATCACATTTATGAAGCACTGCTTTGTGTAGTGTCATGATATAGAGGTAATTTCTGAAATTGACCATTTATTTACAATTATCACAACAAAAATGTAAAATATGTTGTTTAATTTTACAAAAGGGTATGTAGCCCTTTGTATAAAAGTGTTTGCCAAATGTGTAAATTTACCTGCTGCACATTCATTTCTAAATCAGTTTAAGTGAATCAACAGAAATACGGTATTTTGCAGAGTAATCAAAGAGTGATTCAGTGTGATGTGCAGTGACTCCATTTATATCTGCTACACATTCATTTATAATTCAGTGTGAATGTGATGTGCAGTGACTCCATTTATATCTGCTACACATTCATTTATAATTCAGTGTGAATGTGATGTGCAGTGACTCCATTTATATCTGCTACACATTCATTTTTAATTCAGTGTGAATGTGATGTGCAGTGACTCCATTTATATCTGCTACACATTCATTTTTAATTCAGTGTGAATGTGATGTGCAGTGACTCCATTTATATCTGCTACACATTCATTTATAATTCAGTGTGAATGTGATGTGCAGTGACTCCATTTATATCTGCTACACATTCATTTTTAATTCAGTGTGAATGTGATGTGCAGTGACTCCATTTATATCTGCTACACATTCATTTATAATTTAGTGTGAATGTGATGTTAAGTGACTCCACTTGTGCCTGTTTCATATTCATTTTTAATTCAGTTTGAGAAAATGCACATGTGATCTGAAGTGACTCCACTTACACCTGTTACACATTCATAGTATTTTAATTAAGTTTGCAGGAATATTGATTCAGTTTAAAGGAATCAACAGGAATGTGTTACTGGGTAAGAAGAATTGAGAGTAAATCAGTGTGAATGCTATTTGAAGTGACTCCATTTGTATCTGCCAAACATTTGTTTTTAGTTCACATTGTGTTAATCAATAGGCAAGTGTTGTAGAGTATGTAAAATTAGAAATAAAGCAATGTGAATGTTATCTAAAGTGGCTCCTGTACCTGCTACAGTACATGTTCATTTTTTTATTTCGTTTGGGAATTAATAGTAATGTGTTATTTGGGAAGCAAATGTATAAGTAAATCAGTGTGAATCTAAAGTGACTCCATTTATGCCACACATTTATGTTGATAAAGTTTGATGGAAACAATAAGAAAGTGTTACTGAGTAAGCTAATTTAAGAATGAATCAGTGTGAATGCAATCTGAAGTGACTCCAGTTGTGCTCTCTACACATTCATTTTTAATTCAGTTTGAGGGAATCAAAAGGGATTTGTTAAAGAATAAGCTCATTTAAAAGTATATAATTATGCTGTAATATCGTATACTGTATGTATATCAAATACATACATCATATACATACATAAACAATATCATATACTGAACTGTAATAATTATACTGTAATATAAAATCATGCTATATTTGTAAATGTGATCTGAAATGACTCCTCTCGTACCTGTTTTATATTCAGTTTGATGCACTTTAAAGGAAACAACAGAAATGTGATATTGAGTAAGCAAATGTAAAAGTAAGTGTGCTCTAAAGCGACCACTTACTAGCTGTTTGGAACAGGAGTGGGTTGACAAATGGTGGGGCACTGACTCAAACGGGCTGATGGTGCTACACGACCAGGGCGAATAGTGGGCAAGACTCTCTTCTCCACCATGACACTTACAAGTCATACGCCCACCACCTACACCCTCAGGATGCTAAAGGAGGAGAAAGAGAGAGATGACAACATTCTATCTCACACCCACCCGTGTGCAACAGGCTGCCAGAATTAAAAAATGGGGGTGGAAAGAAACAATGCAAAGTGACTCAGCCTCCGTGGTGCCAAATCTTTCTCTGAGAGTTCATGCGTTTCAAAGCGCTTGTGCGCACACACAGTTTTCAGGACAGAACTGCTACTTGCTTTGCATTTATCAGTTGCTGAGCAACAGACCCACTTAAAATAGCTTAACACACCTCATAAGGGCGACTGCAGCTTTATTGCCAAAGTTATTATTCGAAGAAACAACAAATCTGATTTAACGCCGCTTTAGCACGGTGCAGACATGTGTTGTAGTTTTCCCAGGATACACACCTCTAAAAACACCATATCACTGGGCCGTACCTCTGGACACTCATCCACAGTGAAGACTGGGGAGGACTGGGAGGGCCTGTTCATGTTGCCGTGGTGATGTACCCACTGTTCCTGTTTATGGCGATAGAGTTCCTCATAGCCAAGAGGAACACGAGCATATGCGTCCTATATAAAAAAGACAGAAAATAAGTTTTAAACTTCTCTATTCTCATGATGAAACAGCATAATCACCAATTTTACATTTAAAAGTGAAGGGTGTAATTTTTGAGCAACCAGCGGTATGCAAATAATGTTTTTTTAAACCTATCACAACAGAACACCGACAAAATGTCTTGTCACACTCGGCTGCTGACAGTTCACTCAAATTAACATTTGACACTATTTTTACATAAAAGAGCCAATAAACAGTATTGGGGAAAGTAACTTTTAAAAGTAATCCATTACAATATTAAGTTACTCCCTATAGAAGTTACTAATCGCATTACTTAGTAACTTTTTATGGAAAGTAATGTGAAAGTAATTTTTCCAAATGTAAAGGCCCTTTCACACCAAAAGTGAAATGACGCAGTAGTAGAAAGTTCAACATTCTTACTAATTTTTGCTTATTTGTATGGTTGAATTTGATCATCAAAGGTCAGCATCAAAGACACTGAGACAGTGAGATTAATTATATTTGTGTTATTTAACATATTCAATTACTGCAGGTGTTCGTAATATATTCTGAGTTTGCATTTCACTGTTTTTATCCATTTTTAGGAATACTAAATCTATTTTTGTGCAAGTGAGATGAGTGAATGCATGCACACATTTAGTCTAGACCTACAATAACCTTCATTTCTGTCATGACAACTCTCAGAGTGGTAATGGATATACCAATGTTGATATGTTTGGTCTTGGCGGGACTTGCTACTGCCAATACACACACGACACGCTCAGGGCTTGACATTAACTTTTTTGCTCACCAGCCACTGTGGCTAGTGGTTTTTCAAAGTTACTAGCCACTCCGCATTTTCACTGGCCACAATTTTGACATCGATACCATAGGGAAAAACGGCCATATAGATATTTTTAATATTATCTCATTATTTGGCAGCCGGTATATTAGGCTGCTGTTGCTTTAAGACCTGACGCACGGACCCATTTTACTGTTTTAAATAGCCAATATACTTGTCTTTATGTGCAAGCACTTTGGGTGTGAGCACAAAATCTGCGTGAATGAGTACAATTATGCTCAATTTGCGCAATCCCTCACCCTGTAACCAACGATATTCATCCGGAGCAAATTAAACGAGTGAGTAAAGGGTCGCTGTCGGACAGATTAAAGAGGGAGAACGCGTTGCTGGTGCATCCTGTGGAAAAGTTTCAGATAGTTCAGTATCGATATGTATCGAAAAATCTATATTTTTGACAACACTAGATTGCACCTAGTTTATTATTTCAGATGCCTTTTTAAAAGACTACAATTGAAAAATGTGTATTAGGCCTATATAAAATTCAGCCCGCCAAAGTGGCTAGTAGGAGTGACTGCGTTACACGCCACTGCTGAAATCCACCCACATATGGCGGGTTGGTGGGTGTTAATGTCAAGCCCTGGACACGCTGCTGTGAGCAAGTAAGACATGCTGCTGCTGTACAATATAGCGTACATGAATTATCCATAGCAGATCTATACAGGTGGAGCTGGGGAAGGTGGAGGGTTTCTGAAAGCTCACTGCAACTGCTACAGCAAATGCTGAACAAGTATTTAAAGGTTGAGCAGCTCATTGGCTACCGATACAGCAGGAACCAATCAGCTGTGCCCTATAGAGAAGGATATGATTGCAAGCAGATTGAGTTAACGACGTATCAGCCTGAGCCATCTAGAGTTTCATGACAGAACTTTGTATGTTTACACAGTGCACACAACGCCTCTACACTTACTCTACAATTTCTCTCAATATGGGGACAGGAGAGGTGCCAGTCAATAAATGAGAAAACAAAGTAACTTGCGTTACTTATTTGAAAAAGTAAGTCAGATATTGTTCTGTACATTTTAAAGTAATGCGTTACTTTACTCGTTGCCTGAAAAAGTAATCTGATTATGTAACGCGCGTTACTTGTAATGCGTTACTACCCCCAACACTGCCTATACAATTAGACATGAGATAATGAAACGTGCCCTGTGCATTGCCGCTCTCTGCTCCGCTGTGCTGCAGGGATTGTCCAGCGAGTTGTAGCGCTCCCGGAGCGGGGGCTGGTAGACGGCGGAATGGAAAACCTCAGGAGGGAGAGAGTTACTTCTCCCCCCCTCCCTGGGATACAGCGCCGGCCTCCACGCGCGCCTGCTGTCGTAGACGGGGGTGTACATGCCGTGCGCGTGAGCGGGGGACATAGAGGTGTAGGTGGAGGGGGGCCCATAAGGGCCAGGGCCTAATCTGTCCGGAGGAGGAATAGAGGGGTGCTGATCTGAGTACAGAGGGCCCATTGAAGGGGGTAACATGGACTCAGGCACGTTGCTGGAACGATGGAAGCGAGCACTGCATGACCTGTGAGGAGGAACTGTGGAGGAAAAACAGAAGTGAGTGAGTGTAATGGAGGATATTATGCCACAAGAGAGATACAGGGTTTGTCGCTTACTGGCAGGCTGGTGGTAGGGTGACAGGTCATATGTTCTCTGGTCCTGAGAGTGGTAGATCTCAGGGTGAGCTCTCGTGAGGACAGGACCGTGTTTGAGGAGACCTTCCTCTACCTCTCTTCCCAAAGCTATCGCAGAAGACTGGCTGTGATTGATGGGATTTCTGGGAAAAGAAACAGCTTCCATAAGAATCAAAGAAATACATTTTAGAGAATGTAGAGAGAAATGTCACATTCATGTTTGGCTCTCAATTCGTTAATTTTTTTTATTAAATTTTATATCAATAAACATTTTTTTTTAAATGTTTTTCACCATTAGCATGGTAACACATTCAGTTCCTTTTCAAAAAACGAAACTAAATAACATATTATTATTATTATATTCAATTATAAATTTAAACAAAGCAATAAATAAAACCAGTAGTCTACATTTGAAGTGGATCAAAACCTTTCATCAAAGTTATAACATGAATTTTGAACAACACCCGTTCTTGTCTTAGGACAACTTTTTTGATCCAGTTCAAATGTTGACTACTGTATATTACTAGATGAATAATATTATAGTACTGTGAAATAAAAAATAAGTATTTATAATAATAATCATTTTACAGACAATTTTTTACAGTAAAATTACAACAATACTAACATTTATGACGGTCTTAATTGCTTTCAAGCGTTAAACCATAGCGCTTTTTATTTTGTCGCAAAACTCCAGGAAGACCTCAAAACTTCTGTTTTGTTGTCAGATTCATAAACACAAATGTAGAATACAAGTGATCTACACAAATCACACAAATTCCTTACTTTGGCAACAAAAGTGTGATTTTCATTAAAAAGTTTGCTTTCCTAACAATTGCAAGTTCAACCGTGTTGAAAAGTAACAGTACGCCTCTCCTCAACAATGATTTGAGGCATCACTGAAGGCTGTAGCACAAATGCTGCCGGAGTTAAGCACTAAAGTTTGTTCAAATCAAATCTATTGCGGTAAGTATGAGCTTTAGTAACAGTGATGCTTGCCTTGGCAAACAGAACTTACTGTTCTAGGCTGATAGGCAGTCCGTTAGCACCATTGAGGAGTGTTTGTTCCTCCTGGTGGTCTCCTCCTCTTGGGATGAGCTGAGTGGGAGACGTGTCCTCTTTCTCATGGCCCTTCACCTCTGACCCTGGGACTACTCCTTTGGTGCTGGCTTTTGGCATAACTGCTGGAACTGACAGAAAGGGCCTCACGACCCCACTGACTTTCCTATTCCTCATTCTGTGCCTAAAAGAAAGATGTAGATAGAACGTGAGGAAGGGAAGGGAAGGTGTGTGTGCGTGTGTGTGTGTGTGTGTGTGTGTGTGTGTGTGTGTGTTCTCACTTCTCAAGCTCTTCCTGCGTGTGGGCAAAAGTGCAACTGGCCCCTCTCGGACAGCCGCCCTGCTGCCGTAAGTCCCTGCACATACTCGTCTTGTATTTGCTGTTGGGTTGAGCCTGAACAAAGAGAACAGTATACTGTGTCAGAAAACTTTCAGGATCAGCCAAAAAAAAAAAAAAAAAAAAAAAAAGATTGGTCTTTCATAGCCCAGGAAACTTAATGGATATAATTTATTCAAGTATAAAAATTGTGTCAGAAGCTTCTTTCAAAATGCCTTTGGTGAAATAATAATAGATACAAATGGGTCAATAGTTGACGTACGGTATAAGTATAGAGTATAGAGATATTAAATTATGGCTGTGATAATTTGTGACCTGCTCCATCATTTGGAGACCCAGAAATACATTTATACACGAACAACATACATTTCTAAATATTCAATACATTAAATAGTTTATACTGTAAAACTAGTCAAAGGGATGCAAGGAAGGGAAAACGGATGCTGTGTTAATGAATTAAAGTTTTACCGTGTTAAACAGAAAATATGAATTGCAGAAATTAACACATTATTTTTGACAGACCTAAATGGTTACATTTTGGTAAGCTTTGCGTTATCTTTTAACAAAACCTCTTTAGAGGTATGACAGGTATATCTATCAGCCACTACATTAAACAGTATTGAAACCACATTTAATGTTTGAATTTCCTGATTAAATTGACATAATTTCAAAGCTTTTCGCATTTCGGGAAGCTGTACTTAAAGACACTGTACGAAAGATTTTTTGGATTGAAATATCCCAAAACCACTAAAACAATGTTACATGATTTGTTGACTTCTGTACTTTTCCCCAAATGTTTCCAGCAATGTTTAAATCCAGTGAAATCCTCAATTTTAACCAGTGTAACGGCCCGTATCATTGCGTCACCTGTCAATGCATCATATCCACGTTACCCTCGATTTCCAGTTTTACTTCCGTAGGCTATTTCATTAAAATGAAATAAAATAATGTGATTTTAAAGGGATACTCCACTTTTTTTGGAAATAGGCTCATTTTACAACTCCCCCAGAGTTAAACTGTTGAGTTTTACCGTTTTTGAATCCATTCAGCCGATCTCCGGTTCTGGCGGTACCACTTTTAGCATAGCTTAGCATACATCATTGAAGTGGACAAGACCATTAGCATTTCTAAAAAAAAAATGACCAAAGAGTTTTTATATTTTTCCTATTTAAAACTTGATTCTTCTGTAGTTACATCGTGCACTAAGACCGACGGAAAATTTAAAGTTGCGATTTTCTAGGCTGATATGGGTAGGAACTATAGGAATGAGAGTATAGTTCCTAGCCATACCAGCCTAGAAAATCGCAACTTTACATTATCCGTCGGTCTTAGTGCACGATGTAACTACAGAAGAATCAAGTTTTAAATATGAAAAATATAAAAACTCTTTGGTCATTTTTTTTTTAGAAATGCTAATGGTCTTGTCCACTTCAATGATGTATGCTAAGCTATGCTAAAAGTGGTACCGCCAGAACCGGAGATCGGCTGAATGGATTCAAAAACGGTAAAACTCAACAGTTTAACTCTGGGGGAGTTGTAAAATGAGCCTATTTCCAAAAAAAGTGGAGTATCCCTTTAAGTGACCAAACGCAAATGTAATAAAGTTCAAGTTCAGGGAAGAATGAGGCGGGAACCGGCAAAAGTTCAACTTTAATCGTAAAATAAACATAAACAACAAAACGAAAGGAGCGGCAGCGGGTGACCGTGGCATATGAGCATAAAAAACCTCCAGAGCCCATGTGACTCGAGACTGGTGTGTCGCGCAGGTATCTGTCTCTCATTAGCATTCGCTCCACCGCCATCGTTCCGCTCCCACGGCTCTCGGCCCGCCCTGCTTCATACCACAGTAACGCTAATAAAACTTTAATAGTATACATTAGCCCATCCATGAACATGATTTCTGCCTGAGTCCCATCGGATTTATTTCCATAGGCTGTGGAGGTGAAGATGACAACTCCCATGATTTCATGCTCATTCACGGCATCATCAACCTTTTGTTATGGTTTTGAATAAGTGACCTCTAGCGGCAAAACTTACATACTGTGCCTTTAAAGTGATGTAAAATGAATGTATTGAGCAGAATTCATCCTGAATCAGTGTAATGAGAGATCAGGCCGTACCTGAGGGCTTTCATTGCTCTTCTTGCTGAAGTTTTGGATGAATTCCACCAGCCCGTGGACAACAACCTTCACGGCCAATAACACGCTCTCCAGCTCTGCCCAGGATGGAGCGGCCGCATCTACACAAACACACACACACACAGGTTATTGCTCTGTAATCTGATTGCGTTTGCACCCCTGTGGAAGTGCGAGTGCGCATCCTCACCAGGGTTGTGGTCGATGCCGGCCAGCCGCTCGAGAGGAGCTCTGAGGCTGTTGAGGTTGGCTGGGTCTCCTGTTCTCTGCAGGATTATGGTGAGCTCCTGGACGCTCTTTGCAAAGGATTCTGGAGATTGAAGCTGTGGCGTTGGAGTGGAAAAGGACAAATGCATTCAGATTTCCACCAAAGAGAAAAACGTGCCAAACATATTCAACTGAAACATAGAAATATTTGCTTCCTTACATTTTAATTATTAAATTATTATTTAATTATATATATAAAAAAGATACCAAAAAGATAACTATTTATTAACATTTATATCAACTATTTATATATATATACCTACACCTATAAATATATATTCTATAAATTCTAGTTAGCTGACCTATATTATATGTAATTATGTTTTTTAATACGATCTAAAGTTTGGAATATTTAAGGTTCTTTAATGTTTTTGAAAGAAATCTCTCACCAGGGCTGCATTTATCTGATCAAAATATGGTAATATTGTGAAACATTATTATGATTGATAATAGAATGAAGGAAAAAAATGAATACTTTTATTCAGCAAGCAAACATTAAACTGATCAAAAGTGACAGTAACGTAATTTATATTGTTCCAAAAGATTTATATATATATTAAAATGCTGTTCATTGATTGGTCTATTCATCAAAGAAAACTTTTATTGTGGTTTCCACAAAAATATGAAGCAGAACAACTGTTTTCAACATTGATAATAATAATAAATGTTTCTTGAGCATCAAATCATCATATTAGAATAATTTCTCAAGGATCATGTGACACTGAAGATTGGAATAATGGCTATTACTCCATTAAATATTATATTATATTTTTGATATTTGAATATTCACGCAGTACCTTGTCTATGATGGACTGCATGTGAGATTTGTGCATGAGATCCCCGTACAGCAGAGACGACCACTGCTCGGGTGAGATCCGCAGTCCCGCTTCCATGGCGATGTGAACGATCTGAGCGTCGTGCTCGCGGCGCAGGGCTTCGTAAGTGCGAAACTCCTCTTTGAGCTGCATGAGTGAGGAGTCTTCGTCACGTTTGGTCACCTGCAAGACAACATAAAGAGGAATGGCATGTGTGTGTACAAGCCCCTATAATTAACACACTTGAACTCTCCAAATAAGCAACACTGAGTGATGTTCGATGTAAATGATCTCATTAAGATGATTTATTTCATAAGGTGCCACAGTAAATCAAGCCCCGGTGAAATATTCCAGCTCATTTACAAACATCAAGCTGTTTAGATGCATACCAAGACTGCATTAGATATTCCCATTGCCGAGCACTTTATATCCACATAATATCAAGTTACGTCAGGCTTAACACATTAGATAACTCTTTTCCTGTCTATTCATGCCGTCAGGGGCTTCATACTGAGAGTAATGGCTGTTAAGTGATCAGCGGTTTTAGCGCAATCACTACGTGAAGCTGATTTTAGCTCTGACCTTAAAGCAGGAGGCACGGTACAGCAGCTGGACCACGTGACCAATGCTGGTCTTAGACGCCTGAGGGAACCGCGCTTCCAGTTTCTGCACCACGAACAGCACCAGAACCTTCCGCGAGAGAGCCGAGCCGTCCTCCAGAGCCAGCAGCACCAGCTTCAAAGCATCCTCCTGCATGGCTGCAATACATATATGGACAAAGACACACAGTTAGTGCTGTGATCAGTGTGTGCTCGGTCGTGTCGAAGGAATGGATTCATGCTTTGGATGTTCTCAGACTAGAAAACTCAAATGGAGATCACATGTTTTCACAGTCAGAATCTGCCCTATGAGTAATCATCATTGACAGCCAAGCACAAATGCATATTTGGACATTCCCTTCACATACATTAAAGGAATATTTGGGGTTATTTACAACTTTTTTTGCATCTAGTGACATACTGCATTCTCAGCAGGCTGATTAATCAAACCATATATGGGCATTTTGAGATTATTAGAATCACATAAAAAAAAAAATATATATATATATATATATAGCATCATTCAAAATTTTGAAGTCGGTGATATTTTGTAATGTTTGAAAAATTATTTTATGCTCATCAAGGCTGCATTTATTTGATTTGATTAAAATAATCGTTTTTTATTTTAACATATGGTCAAATGTGATTTATTCCAGTGATCAAAGCTGAATTTTCAGCATTATTACTCCAGTCTTCAGTCACATTATCCTACAGAAATCATTCTAATATGCTGATTTGATAATCAAAAAACATTTATTATTATTATTAATATTATTAATATTAATATTGATGTTGGAAACAGTTGTGCTGCTTAATATTTTTTGGAAACCATGAGGATTATTTGATTCTTTTGATGATCGAAAGTTCAAAAGACCAACATTCATTTGAAATATAAATCTTTTGTAACATTATACATGTCTTTACTGTCACTTTTGATCAATTTAATGCATCCTTATTGAAAAAAATGATTAATTTCTTTCATAAACTTTCTGACCCCTAACTTCTCATTGGTAGTGTATATATTGCATTATTTAAAACTACATAAAAACTATTAATACACCATAAAAATTTAGGAAAATAGGACAAATAGACATTTTCCCTATAGCTCACTAACCTACCGACAGACTTGTCAATGAATAATAAACCATATCAGTTTTTCTGAGATGTGTAAATCTCATTCACTGTCATTAGATTTTACTATGCGTTATCTGCATTATACTTTACTCTCTAGACATAACTATCAGCATTGGCCTTTGAAAAACAAAGTTGACACAGACAGCCACCACCATAAAGATAATGTGAAGTTGTCTAATTGTCCTTTTGGGAAAACATTTCCGAAGCGTCTGGTCATATTATTCAGAACACAGAAGAGTCCTTTATGCACAGTTGTCACATCCCTACCGATTCCTCCACAGTATCCTCTAGCAGATTACTGAATCAAAGGGATCAGATGTACTTTTTTCTGGTCATGTCATAAATTGAAATATTGGATATAAATTTGCACTAAGTTGTACATAACCCGAAATATGCAAAAAAAATAACCAGGTCTGTATATCTTTAATGATATATATTTAAAGGGGTCATGACTTGGATTTTTTTTTTTTTTTTTTTTTTTGTTCCTTGAGGTTCACTTACGTAATATGTTAATAAGGTTTTTTTCACAATCATATGTGGGAAATGATTATTTTCAGCCCTTTGTCTGAAATGATCTGTTTTTAAGGGACGGCTTCTTTAAGGCTTGTCAGTAAACGGCTACTGTTTTGATTGGCTAACGTCATTGCACAGAAAACAGTATCAACGCACACTCGCTATTGAACGCGAGTAAGTGTTTTGAAAACATTATCCATATATAACCGTCATTTCCAGACAAAGCATTATGAAATCATCTGCTTATGGTTTGTGATGCAGCTGCCATCAGATTCAATAAAGTTGCTGATTCATCTTTCAACTAAAGCTTCTTTGCGAACTCTCCGTTACACTGTCCCTTGTTTACAAAAGAAAATGCTCTGAACAAACATATAATACTTCGACACGATCCGGAACGCCCTCAAAATAAACAATACACTTGTCTCCGACTCTGGGATCCTTCTGTATGAGACACAAACAAGCTGTTTAAACTGGACGCGTCAAAGCGATTGTTCTTTCACTCTTCCATTTGTCCTGTTGTCGGCAGACTCACGTGTGTGAAGTCCATCAGAAACTGAACACGCATCTGTATACTCTATCCAGTGTAGACAGCGTCTGTTAATGTAATGGCTCTATTTGCTTTTGACGCAACTGTTGTGGGACAGAGGCGAGTCAGTGTTTTATATATAGGCCTCATTGCGCTGACTGAGTAGATTATCTGAACGTGCTCCTCTCAAACTTTGTTAATAAAACATATACGGATGAGACAAATATCCATATATGTATTGTTAATAAGACAAATAAGGACGTTTTAAGCTACGAAACTTGCAGGATGTTTAATGGTACAAAGACCATGTCAAAAGATCAAGGCAAATTTAATTTCTCATGTCAAGACCCCTTTAATGAGGAATAATCAAATGAAGCAGTGCTAGAAATGTTGCACACAGAACTCACCCGGTCCGAGGAACTGGCAGCCGCGTGCCCGCACGGCGGCCCATAGGTTGGCGGAGAGCTGCTGTGGGTTCTGGTGCTGCAGGATCAGTTCAGTGACGGTGCGCTCTCCCAGAGACCTGCACGCCCGGACCGCACGCATACGCCCCTCCTCCTCAACCAGCTGACAGTTCACCAGGGTCACCAGCTTCCTCTGCATGGGTCTACTGAGCGCGCTCTGACTGAGGGTCACTACACCTGTGTGGGAGAGCAGAACACAGTTACATTTATATGCATGATTCAAAGCTTATGATCTTATCAAGAAGTCAATCCACAGTCCAGAAATATCTCTGTGCGGCTGTAACATGCATATGTAACTTCGAATAAGTTACATTAAACTTAAAAAATGTATAAAACGAATGACTTATTTAAAGTATTTTAAGTATGTATTTGTGTGAAAAAAGGTGTACAATACTGTACTACACTGGACAGGGCATATTTTAATGTGCTCTTTGCTCTATTTCTTTTGTTTGAAATCATTTTATAAACATTTGTGTATATTGTAAACATGTATTATTTTTCAGTGAATTTCATTGCATTTTAAATACCTGCATGCTTTTTTTATACATAATCATATACATATGAACAGACACATGTCGGACTGAAGTCAAAATATCCTTGATGCAATTAACTGGCAATTAAATGGGTAGATTACTTAGTGTAGTCAGTTAATGATTCCAAATTACATGACAAAAGTTGAAGTTATAAAGTAATCAGATTACTTATTTTAGGTCATGTATTCTGACTACTTTTTGATTACTTTTTAGATTACTTTTGACATAACTCGTTTATTGTCACATTGCTTTGAATAGGGTAACCTGGTACCATATTGATATAAAAATACAAAGAGAAAAAAAAAATCCATTCTTTGTTATCAACAACATGAAGTGCATTAAACGTTACATTACGTCCGGGTTTCCCAGACTGGGGTTCGAGAATTTAATGAAAAGCTATTAAGTAATTAAATCATAAAAATGTCAAATTTAAATAAATACATTTAAAATAAAAACAATCAAAATAAACAATTTACCAAAAAAAAATGTTTTGTAATTTATTAACTTAATCTAAGGGCTTCAAGTAAATACATTAGGGAAAAGAGGTTCAGCTGACAAAAAAAGAAAAATATGAAATATGCATGTAAATATGAAATGATGTGAATTTGTACATTTTAATGTGTTTGAAAGACAGAACATGTGTGCAATTATTCTCACAAACCTGGAATACCTTCTGAGCATATATAAGCAGTAGACTTATAGAAAGGAACATTTTAAATATAACAAAGAAGTAGAATAATGAATTATGAATAATTTACTCATTGTAAGAATAACATGTAATCATGTAATCAATAGAAAAGTACCTGTATTCTGATTCCCAGTATAATGTAATTGAATCTAATTACAAGTACTTCATTTTTTTAATCGGATTACGTAATCCAGTTTGCATGTAATCAGTTACTCAGCACCGCCTTTCAGTTTATAGTTTTTGAGTTAATCTACAACTAATGCACTATCTACAACAATATCTCCTACTATTCTAACTTCCAGGAGCTGCTAAACATCCCGAGGGTGAAAGTCCCGCGAGTCTTATGACTACAGCACACAGTAATACAGTGGAGGCTTGGCAGAGGAGCTCTGAAATGAGCTCAAAGCTCGTCAATGAGGAGTTTAAGAGCTTTAGCGGCCCACTAGTCTGCTGTGAGGAGTAACTTTTATTGTTACTCAAACAAAACAGTCAATTGAGTCCTTAAACAGACTTTTCCACCGGTTTCCTGAAGCTTTACTGCTCACGGAGACCAAGTGTTTTATTGGCCTACAAAGAGTCGTTCTAGTGTTATTTCAGTTATTCAGTGAGAAATAAGTGACCGATATGTAAAAATGCACTGGGTGTGTTTGTTTACTGCTTTTTATTAAGAATTGCTAAACATATGTGTGTGTACATACTGTAAACAAATAAAATAGCAGCATGCTTTTCTTTTGTTTAAGAAGTGGCCTTTTGGGTTTCACAGTTTTCTTGTTTTTTCCCACTGACGCAAATATCTCCAACCACATAAGATCGAGCACACGTACCCGCCGAACAACAGGAAATGTTGCGCTGTTCTAATCTGAGCTCATGCAGCCGCAAACCTGAACAATAATGCAGCACTCACGGGCGTTGTTCTCGACATCGTACCGGTGTACTTCGCACTCTCACCTTTTCCTCCGCTGATTGCTTTGAGATACAGAGCCAGCTCCTCCACACACATCCTGCACACTTCATAATGTCTCGTGTCTTCAGCACTGCCCACACTTACGATCTCTCCCTCAGGAACCTGCAGGGGATAAAAACAGATTTATACTGTGTGTCTACATCGGGACGTCACTGTAAAAAGCATCATTTTTCTGACCACTGGTGAAAATGACCTGAAGCTAAATTAAAATATTGCATTGTAGTAATGAAAATTAAAAAAACCATAAGAAATTCATTGGGATTTGATATATATATATATATATATATACGCATATTAGAATGATTTCTGAAGGATCATGTGACACTGAAGACTGGAGTAATGATGCTGAAAATACAGCTTTGATCACAGCAATAAATCACATTTTAAATTATATTTAAATAGAAAACAGTTATTTTTAATCATATTTTAAATTATATTAAATATTATTCAACAATATTACTGTTTTTTGTTGTTGTATTTTTAGTCAAACAAATGCAGCCTTGGTAAGCAGAAGAGACTTTTAAAAACCTTACTGATCCAAAACTTTTGACTGGTAGTGTATATACACTACCGTTCAAAAGTTTGGGGTCGGTACGATTTTAAATACTTTTAAAAGAATTCTCTTCTGCTAACCATGGCTGCGCTTATTTGATTAAAAATACAACAAAAATCAGTTGTAGTATTAAATATTATTCCAGTGTAAATCAGCTGTTTTCTGTGTGAATATACAGTAAAGTGTAATTTATTCCTGTGATCAAAGCTGAATTTTCAGCATCACCAGTGTCAGTGTCTTCAGTGTCAAATGATCCTTCACAAATCAGTATAATATGAGGATTTGATGCTCAAGAAACATTTATTATTATTATCAATGTTGAAACAGTTGTTGGTCTGTCAGTTGTACAGTTTTTTTTTTTTTTTTAGGATTCTTTGATGAATAGGAAGTTCAAAAGAACAGCATTTGTTTGAAATAGAATCTTTTGTAACATTATAAATGTCTTTACTGTCCTTGATAAATAAAAGTATTGATTTCTTTCCTCCAAAAAATAAAAGTAAAATTCTCACTGACCCCAAACTTTTGAACGGTAGTGTATATATATTTTTTTAAACGTCATGCCCATTAAAGACACTGAAAATAAAACGATAAAAAATGTCATTTTAAGCTTCACAGCCCTGAAAGGCAACAACACTGGATTGACCTGATCTAACACAAAAACTCAACAGCAATCCTATCAATCTCCCAGCATGCCTCACTCACCGGCGCCCCCACCAGCTGCAGGAGGGCACAGTTGACAGGCAGCGCATCAATGTCAGTGCTAATGGCCGTCTGGTCGAAAGGACAGGCCTTGCGGTGCAGTTTGTGCAGGCAGGTCTTGCAGACGGTGTGCGAGCAGCCCAGGCTGATGGGCTTGTGGCTGCAGGCGTCAAACTCATTGTAGCAGATGGGGCAGGATAGAAACTCAGTCCATTGAGCTGCCTGCACCGGCATCCTGTGACCTCCAGGGGGAACTATCACGCTCGGGGAGATCGCATGCTGCCACGCCCCAGCGCCTTAAACACACCTGCGGAGAGAAGAACACACCGGGTCATGATGCTTTCACGCCATGTTGTAATCACTGTGTGAGCACCAAATGTGGTGCTCTGAGATGTTCACATCCTCGGATTGGGAACCAGGCGTTTTTATGGTAGCACTATCAACGCCTAAATGAATCTGCAGTAGTCAGCTGGTACAGCAGTCACGTGGTGTAGGAGCTCTCAGAAAATTCCCAGTTTACAAGTTGTAATTGCGCTTTTTTCCAGTTGGAATCTCGTAACTATAGTACTTACGCCATGGCGTGAACGTACTGTACCTTCATTCACTAATCCTGCATTCACACTGCAGTCTATTTAAAATGTTTAATACATTTGAATTAATTATTTAAAAGAATCGGTTTGAATAAATGATTCAATGACTCACTCGTAAAATACTTCATTTGTTTCAATACTGGATGAATCAGACTTTTTGAACGAATCTCTTGACAAATACGTTTTTTTAACAGCCACTTGTCGCCACCTACTGGTGTAATGATGTGATGATACAATCGTTATTTGAAGCACCAAGTTTATTAAAAGAACCAATTAATTTGAGAGTCATTTGTTCGTGAATCGGACTACATGGGTCGTGCTGTTTGCTTTTTGCGTGTAGGCCTAAGACGTGATTTTTTTTTGGTACTTTTTCCAGTAGGCTAAGCAACCACTCAAAACATCTTAGCAACCACATAGCAACCACCCAGAACACCATTAGCAACCACTTAGCAACACCATAGCATTATGGCACTAATTTTCTCTTTAAAAATGATCTTTCGCTCTCACTTCCCCCTTCTCGGATGTCATTTCTTATTGCCATCACCTGTCAGCTGCACTGCAGGAATAAACTGTCTTGCTCTCACTCATTCATGTTCTTCACATCTCCATGCACTCAAGCCCTCTCTCACTCTTCTTCTGGATCCCTCTATGTGTTTCTGAACTCCTCTCAGCCTGTTTGCTGCTTTTCAGGGACTTCCTGAAGGACAGAAGGTGGAGCAGATAAGAGTGATTTACAAACAGCCATCAACATGTTGATTAAAACTCCATATTAAACATATTTCACAAACGCCGGGCAAAATGTCAGGGAGAGGAACATATAGAAAGGACTTTATCTTCGCCAGCTGCTCATGGAAGGCTCTTGTCGGAAGGTGTAAAATTACAAAAGTAAAATAAATCATTCATTCCCCTACTTGGGACACTACACTCCAGCTAAAGCGGCACAATTCTGGAAAAATTGAGAATCCCTTTTTGTTTCAAACAGAGATCACGATTCTCTCACCATTCTGAACAGACAACTAAACAAAATAACAAGCAATTTACTAGAGGTTCTGACAAAATGTTAATTGCTGTTTAAAAATGTTGCATGCATTAATTTGAATGAATTATTTTTTAAAAAAATAGGATTAAATCAATGATTCAATGACTCATAAAGACAACTTGTTTCATCAGTGGATGAATCAGAGTTTTTGAACAAATCTTTTGAATAAATAATTCAATGGCAAATAACAGTCACTTGTCGCCAACTACTGGTGTTACAATGCAACGATACAATCGTTATTTGAAGCGTCGAGTTAGTTACTCTAGTTAGTAAACGGGTGACTCTATTTTGATCGCTTCTGGAGGCATTTAATCCAAAGTATAAACGTTTATCAGTAACTTCTCTCTCTGGATCAGCGAACAAAGATCTGAATTTTGACGTTTAATAGATGCAGGCGAATCGTGGTCATTTAGGAATATGATCGTGTGGTGTTTGAATCGAGATCGCGATCTTTTAATGATTAATCGTGCGGCTCTAATCCCAGTTTACAGGGAACTTTCCCATGACTTTCATTTAACGTTTTTTAAAGGTTGTGTAAATGTTTGGGCATAACGTTCTTAAAATAATATGGAACATTCTTATAACACTATTAATATATGTATTATGTTCACGTGATTTAGAGAGGAAACGTTCTTAGAATGTTCTCCGAACTTCCGTGTTATTAATATTTGTGAATATTTCTGTATTGTTGGCAGAAAACAGTTTGACAAAATTGTTTATGGAATATCTGTATGTTATTTGTTTTTGATGAATGTTCTTAAAAAGCGTATTCTCCCTAGATTTAGGTAGGATTTTGTTCTAAGAACAAAAGTAATTTAATCATTAGAAGGATCAGCCAGTTCTCAGAAATAGCCCAGAACTACGTTCAATAATGTTCTTCAAAAATAACAAGAGAACGTTCTCATAAAATTTTCAAAATGATAGAATAATCAAGAAGAAACGTTCTTGGGTAATTAAAAAACTAATCGGAGACGAATTTCATCTATTGGAAACTTTTGGTTTAGTGCGCCCAAACAAAATCCGACTGAAAGTTCATTTTTTGAGATATCAACCTCAAATTTGGAACACAACTTGTTTAGATTTATGGCTTTGATTTTCTCACAGTTTGAATATATATATTTCATATAAAAATTGAAAATTGTATTTTTGTACATTTTTCATAACAATAAATGTAAAACTTTATAACGTTTTTTTCAAGTTCAGCAATAATCTGCCAAGTGTCGTCTTTAAAAAGAAACCAAACTTGGTCTGTGCTCCAAAGCATTCAAGATTTATGACAGTTGGAAGTTGGGAATTTAATTTTCATGTCCATGCTCAAACAAGTAAATAAATAGATTATAACTACTGCATAAATATAATTCAGTACCATAAAATCCCCCCAAAAAAGCTAAATATTAAATGAAAAACATCATCGAACTAAAATATAGTATAATAATTTTGTTGAAATAATAAAAAAAGGTCATTTTTGACTGAACACGTGAAGACTGCCAGAGGGCTAAAGGGAATGTTAGCTAAACGTTCTTAGAGTATTTTTGTTGGCTGGGACAGAGCTTCAGCTGTCACGTAACTGCTGTTCTAGCACCTGCTGCATGGACGAACCCCTCGGTTGATGTCTGTTCCTCCAGGAAAAGCTTCGGTGACACTCCACACCCTGTCAGGAGTCAGGACAAGACTACCATGTCATGCAAAATTATGCAAGGGCCCCCACTGCTGTTGAGAATCAATCATTTGTCAGGGAGAGACACATGCATGTGGCCATGGGCACTCCTCTCTTTCAGTACATTTTATTCATCACACTCTTAAAAGTACAAGAAAAACAACAGCCATATATAATTTATAAACTATAAGGTAAAAGGAAATATTCGCATATAGCAAATAGTCGCAAATATTATTAGAAACTTAGTTATGTGAAGTAAATCATTAAACACGAAGCAATGTCCTAATAGAAAATGCAATGTATACTGCATTACTTTTAAACACTATTACAAACAATTCAGATGCAACATTAGCAAAATAAATACGATGAGTAACACTTTAAGACAGTAGGCTAAGTTGTACATAAATAGGCTGCATTAAAAAAAATGTACATAAATATGCTACATTAAAAAAATCAATTAAATTACGCACCATGTAAGTGACCGCGCGCGCGAAACATCCACAGCGTAGCTTGAATCTGCTCGCGCGAGTCATGTTTCCACGCTGCTGCTGAATTTAACATCTCTGGGTTCACGCGTGTGACAAAACGTGTCCGTGGGGTCTGAATATAGTTGCGGTGGAGGGTTTAGGGGCGTGATTCAGTGATTCATGGTCACGGGGAGCATCTGCGCGAGGGAATTCTGTTATTTAGCTACGCGCCCACAGACACCCGAATCACGCGAGGGAACATCATCGACACAATTTGCATTGTGCGTGTTACACACGTTACCTTTATAAATACAATATAATTACATATATAATACACAATAATTTGGCGACTCGATTCTTATATATATAATGAGGCCAAAATGACGCAGCAGTGACGTTAAAATAGCCTATACTACATTTGAAAATAATTCAGGCTAAAATGGGTTTGTTTGAACTGAGCACGTCGTGTGTGGAACAAACGCCAAAAAGCCATAAACAGGAAATAACTTCACTGTCTTGTGACCATGTGACGCGCGGGGGCTGAAGAAAATTGAAAATCTGACCTCAGACAGGAAACCGTTTGAAAGTAATTTACTACTGTATAGATAGCCTACTGTAAAACACAATATATTTTATTCATACCTTCATTCTTGGGCTAAAAGTTAGGGGGAGGTAAAACCGCACACTGCTGAACTCCTAAATTGTCAGCTAAATGAGTGTATTTATATATATCATATGCAAAGTTATAAATATTTAGAGTTATTCCAACCATCTGATTTAACCCACATCTCAACCAACATCACCGTAATAGATAGACCACAACTTAGCCCAGGATAAACCATAAAATGATCACTTCCATCAACCCAATTTGCACCTGGTGCATGGTGTTCTAGTCCCTTGATGGATGGTCCCTTGTGCTTCGTGCAAAGCACTTTCTCCAATATATCGACAGGCTCTGAGGCTCAGAACCCGAAGCCCAGGAATGCTGAGGGGTAATGGGTGCAAATGTGCGCACCAGTATATCTTTAGGTCACTGGAACCTCAAAGTTGGAACATCCTATTCTTGTCACCCCCGATACCTCCTCTGTCTTCTGCACATACACAGTCCCCCCCCTCGGACAACCACACATCCGAAAGAACAGCAAGAGGAAAGTTACACTCATTACAATTAAGTTGCAATGAGATTAATCAACTTCTCAGTGAGAGTTCTCCATAACTGTTATTGTTGTACATTAGCATTACCTGTGGTCTCATGCCTCCAGCTGAAACATAGCATATTTATTTTTAATTTTATTTCACATTGACTGTTTGCCATGCTGTCATGTTGGCTATGCCTGCAAATGACCATCACTGTAAAAATGTTTTGTCAGGTGTGCTTTATATGGAATTACATCAACTGGTTTTTATTCAAGTCAATAAATGATTATTTGTTTAATATTACGTTCTAAGAATTGAATCATGTAGAAAACGTATCTTAAGGTCATAAGAGTGCATTTGCAGCTCTTACAGTGAATAATGAAACTGAAACTACGTTTAGCCTATTGTCTATGGTTTAAACTGTGTTTCTGTAGGCTATACTGTATTTTTTTTAAAGACGAAGAAATGCAAGAATCGTTATTTCAATGGAAAATGACATTATCTAATACCTTGGGTAGATCGAATGAATGAAACGTGGAAGAATCAATTGTTCTGCAAGACGCGGAAGTCTTTTTGAGCGCGAATTGTGCTTGATGGTGTTGTACAACTTTACTGACACATGCGCACCTATAGAACTTATACTAGATAAACTCTATCGGTGGATCATCTGGTTCACCAAACCATCATGAAAATCAATGAACATGTATTAATATTCTTAACCAAGCATTCTATTAGACGTTGAAATAAAGGAATTAATTTATATCCAATATGATATGCAATGCACTTCACCCCAAACGCAAGAGGCATTCGCGAAACTTCTTGAGCAAATAACTAGCTGTGCAACAAACTTAAAACAAGGCAACATCGGCATGTTGTTGCTCATGCATCACTGATTGTTTGCTTTCATAGAAAAAAAAAGTTTGAAAATAATTTTATTATAGGGATGTTGCATAAGCATTTCGCGCGCATCTCGAAAGCAGCGCGCGCCACACCAGCAGCGATCCTCAATGATATACTTCCCAATACAAAGTCGCGCGACTTGCACTTACCGTAGGCGATACAGAGTATCATCATAACCATCCATAGTTTATGTGCACTTCGCCATCAAGCCCAAATTCTTCATCGCATTCAATTATTCACAGCTGAGCCGAACTAGTTTTCCCGAATTTTTTTTTGGGCGTCCTTTTATTCCGTCCAGACATCACATAAAATAACATATTAAATTTCCAGAGATTTGGGAGCGCATTCCCTGACAGCGCGACATGTTCGGCATGAGCAGGTACACTCCCATGACCGTCAGCGAATATACCAAAACTACTATGACGAAGTGTTCCTTTTTAATATTAAAAAGCCTGGCCTGTGCGATTGGAAGACAACAACATGACGTTTGCGTTATCTACTCAATATTCATGAGCCTAGCCCTCTGCTATAGGGTTGGGGGGAGGGGCGGGGGGATTTTTACTCAACTATTACCATAAGCTATTTATGGTATTTCCTACTCGAAATGAATAATGTAATGTTACTGAAACTTGTAGGCTTACGTGAAGTGATACTTGAGCTCGTGAGACTGAAATCAGTTTTGTTTATTGGTTGTTCAATATAGCCTAGTGCAAGATAGATTTCGTCGTAATCAGTATTTTAAATAAATAAATATGTATCCACGTTGTTTGTTTGTTTGTTTAGCATTTGTTTAAATACATATTTTAGAACCAATTAGCGGTTGAATTTATGCTGCCTCTAAAAAGTATGGAAAATCACTCTTCTGATGAAATCTGAAATATTTCCATTTGGATGGACTGAGTGCAGCAGATACAAAAATTGCGATTTCCTTTCCCCCCTCAAAGGTAATAAAAGAATAATTAATGGAACCAGAATCCTTATCCATTCCTTACGATTCCCAGCTTTACTCTCCAAAGTTACCAAGCAACCTTCTTATTTCTGATTAATATTCATTAGCCAAGCCTTCGCCATAGTAGGATTCGCAATTTCAAAGATCCGTCAGGCAGTGAGATTCAGAATCGATATCACTCCGCCACAGATGCTCGCATCATGGATTGAGCTGTGGGTGTGCTCGTCGTTTAAACATAAAATGACTCAGTTAGACCCTGAAACAGTGCTTCTTTTCAACAGAATATGCCACTGGATGTTGTTGTTGATTATTGTGCACGGTACTATTTTCATGTAGGGGGCAAGGATAAAGATGTAAAGGGGCAAAGCCGGAACAAGCCGCTTTTCGAGGCGTAGGCTGCATGTATTTTAAAGAGACAGAAATGCTTTAGTTGAACGTCAGGAGATCACGTGAATCTGTTTATTCATGCACCTTATATGTCTTTTGGTGAAATAAGAAATGTAATGAGTATTAGACATATTAGTAAACTCGAGAATATTCTTGAAATGGTTAATATGCCTCAATTAGACAAAGAGCATCCTCATGGGAATCTACTGTATGGTCTTCCTCGACTTTTGCCAATGAAAGAATCCTTTGACTCTTTTGCACACTGATGTTTTTCATGCACATTTTCTGTTCCTGCTTCACTGCCGATTTGAGATCACCAGATTGAATTAAATGTATTGTAGGCTATACAGTAGCTAGTTGTGTGCTCAAGGATATAGCAAAGAGTCAAAGACCCCATTTATACAAAGCAACATGGCATAAACAATAGTGCACAATACTGGGGAGATATGTGATGCAAATGTATGTTATAAATAATGTAGGCCTATGTTCTATTTTATAAAACCCTGACAAAAGTAATGGTCTTTTTTTATGCAGACGGCCTAGCGGAAGGGTGTCTCCTGAACCCACATGTATTTTGCATTACTGTTCTAGTTGAAGATATTCATATTTTGTGAATAGAAAAACAGTTCGCTCTTCAAGACAGTCACCATGTTAACACGTTTACCCCCATTCACTCACTTTTCATTTGTATTACAGAAAAGCCCAAGTGAGGGAGACATTATTGATAAGGACGTTGGCGACACCGTCTGGCCAGAAAAATACACTACGGTCATATTGATTAATTACCGCATTTAAAGTTCACCCAAAAATGAAAATTTCGTCATTACTTACTCGCCCTCAAGTTGTTACAAACCTGTGTGAGTTTCTTCTGTTGAACACAAAAGAAGATATTTTGAAGAATGTTTGTAACCATACAGTTGACGGTAGCCATTGACTTCCAGTAGGCTATAGCCTATAGGGGAAAAAATACTATGGGAGTCAAGGGGTCCATCAAATGTCTGGTTACCGACATTCTTTAAAATATCTTCTTTTGTGTTCAACAGAAGAAATTCATACAAGTTTGTACAACTTGAGGGCAAGTAAGTAATGACAATTTTTTTTAATGACTACATTTTTGGGTGAACTATCCCTTTAAATGCGGTAATTAATCAATTACTGTATGTAGATTATTTTGTCATTCGTATTTTTGCCTAAATCTAACATGCATCTTTCTGTTTCCTATACTTACTGCGTTGCAATAATGAAACTCTTTTTCCCAAAAAAATTCTTAAAAATTGTAACATTATAGTCAATGAAACGAGGCTTAGAAAATAAAAATGTAATCCTACACCTCAAGTGTTTTCACCTCTAAAATTTTACGAGTTATTTTATTCTTCTTATTTTCTATCAAACATCTAACAAAATTGGTTTATTCATATTATTAATGAATTGGGTCATTCTCTGATATTTCAGTCCTCCAGACTTTTGGTTCACCAAAAAAAAAATGCTAAAAGCTTTTCACAATACTATGCCGTTATAATGGATACAAATAATTATTGCATTTAAATCATTTTTATCATATAATGTCTTATTTCTATCGTACACTAAGCATTTTATCATGTCTCTGAAGAACTTCACTGAATTTGTACTTAGAAAATATTTAACAAAATGTACACTGTCTCTATAATTTTAGCAAAATTGTGTATATTTGTGTAACTTTCTTGTGAAAAGTAAAAAAAATTGCCAACATATTTGATAAAAACAGACTATAATGTTGTGTCCCTCAGTCCCTTCACACCAAACATTCAGATTTAGACTCCACCCATGTGTGACATCATTTACCAGAAATTACATCATTCAGGTCTCTTTAACAGTGGTGCAGATGATAAGTAGTTTCATATTTTTTATTTATATATTTGAGGAGTATTATAGTATTATATATTTATGCTTCTAAATGAAACTTGGTTAGAAGACAGCTGCAGTTCAACAGTCCTCAATGAAACAGCCCCTCCTAACTTTACTTTTATGAGTGTTTGCAGAGCGGGTAAGAGAGGTGGAGGAGTAGCTGCTCTTTTTAAAGATGTCTATCAATGTAAGCAAACATCATTTGGTAACTAGCCCTCTTTTGAATATCTGGGTATTGTGTTAAAAGGTGCCCCACGCATTTTACTTATTATTTACAGGCCTCCAAAATACTCTCCAGCCTTTGCTGAGGACTTTACAGAACTGTTATCAACAATTTCCTCAGAGTTTGACTGTTTTGCCATTGCTGGAGATTTTAACATTCACATAGATAATGATACAAATATGGCAAAAGAAATCAAAACTGTTTTAAAAACTTTTGATCTGATTCAGCATGTACATGGACCCACACACAATCGTGGACACACTCTAGATTTACTTATCAGTAAGGGTCTAAACATCTCATCGATTGTTATTAAGGATGTAGCACTGTCTGATCATTTCTGTATTTTCTTTGATATACTGATCTCTCCTGCCATTGAAGCTAGATCTGTGTCTGTCAAGAAGAGATGCTTAAATGAGAACACTAGTGTGCTATTTATGAAGGCTATATCTTTAAAACCAAGCATATCTGCTGACTCTGTTGATTTTCTCCTGTTAAAGTCAGGAAGAATAGTGGTAGACAAAAAGCACCTTGGAGAAACTCAACAGCTGTGCAAAATATGAAAAGAACATGCAGAAAAACAGAGCGCATGTGGCGGAAGACAAAACTTGTAGTCCATTATAACATCTACAAAGACAGCATCCATGCTTTTAATATTGAACTAGGCAAAGCTAGACAGACTTTCTTCTCAAATATTATAAACAGCAACTTAAACAACACACGCACTCTTTTTGCTACTGTAGAGAGACTGACAAACCCCCCAAGCCAGATTCCCAGTGAAATGCTCTCAGACGGCAAGTGCAGTGAGTTTGCTTCTTTCTTCTCTGAGAAAATTAAGAATATCAGAAAGGTGATCAGCTCATCCTTGAGCCGCACTGGGGTCAGACAGATCAGACCACTACCTGAGAAAGTAGTTACTATGTCTGTTTTCGAAGAAATTGATGGCAAAATTTTGGAAGAAACCGTACAGCACCTTAAAACATCAACCTGCGCCCTTGACGCACTTCCCACATCTTTTTTCAAAAGTGTGTTAAACAGTTTAGAAGCAGATCTCCTAAAAGTGGTTAATGCCTCACTTCTCTCTGGTAGTTTTCCAAACTCCCTGAAAACTGCAGTTGTCAAGCCCCTCCTGAAAAAGAGCAATCTGGATAAGACTATATTAAGCAACTATAGACCGATCTCAAATCTTCCTTTTATAGGCAAGATCATTGAAAAAGTTGTCTTCAATCAGCTGAACAAATTCTTAATCTCGAATGGATACTTTGACAATTTTCAATCTGGTTTCCGATCGCATCACAGCACAGAGACAGCTCTCATAAAGATAATAAACGATATTCGCTTAAATACTGATACAGGGAAATTATCAGTGCTGGTACTACTCGACCTCAGTGCTGCATTTGACACTGTCGATCACGACATGCTACTTGACAGACTGGAAAACTGGGTGGGGCTTTCTGGGATAGTCCTAAAATGGTTCAGGTCATACTTAGAAGGGAGAGGTTATTATGTGAGTATAGGAGACCATAAGTCTGAGTGGACGTCCATGACATGCGGAGTCCCTCAAGGCTCAATTCTTGCACCACTCCTGTTCAACCTATATATGCTCCCAATGAGCCAAATAATGAGAAAGAACCGAATCTCTTACCACAGCTATGCAGACGACACACAGCTCTACTTAGCCCTATCGCCTAACGATTACAGCCCCATTGACTCCCTGTGCCAATGCATTGATGAAGTCAACAGTTGGATGTGCCAAAACTTTCTTCAGTTAAACAAAGACAAAACTAAAGTCATTGCGTTTGGAAACAAAGATGAAGTTCTCAAGGTGAATGCATACCTTGACTCTAGGGGTCTAACAACTAAAAATCAAGTCAGGAATCTTGGTGTGTCTCTAGAGTCAGACCTTAGTTTCAGTAGTCATGTCAAAGCAATAACTAAATCAGCATACTATCATCTGAAAAA